GCAATTGTTGTTTATTTTTTAAAATTTAATTTTTTTAATTATAATTTTACAGTGTTGAGCATAATCTTGTATGTCTTTACAATTTAAAAACTCCTTGAAAAAGTGTTTTTGTTGCAATAACGGACCCTATTTGCACAAATTCATAAAAGCGGACCCTGGTTGAAAGAATGTGAGTAATTTTTTCACAATTTCACAAAAAACGGACCTTTCACAAAATGTCTGGACAGACCCCTGATATAATCAGTGCTTGATTAGCCATTAGGCCATAGCCTCGAGCCCCCAATGATAAGGTGCCCCCTTAAAATGGATTTTTCGAAAATAAATTTTAAAAAAATTATGAAAAACAATGATATAAAAAAAAAATCAATTTCAAATATATATTAATAAAAATACAGTAGGGAACAGATTATCCGGAATGGTCGGGACCATCGCTATTCCGGATAACTGATTTTTCCGGTTTTCTGAATCNTTTTAATTATAATTTTACAGTGTTGAGCATAATCTTGTATGTCTTTTCAATTTAAAAACTCATTGAAAAAAAATTTTTTTTGCAATAACGGACCCTATTTGCACAAATTCATAAAAGCGGACCCTGGTTGAAAGAATGTGAGTAATTTTTTCACAATTTCACGAAAAACGGACCCTTCACAAAATGTCTGGACAGACCCCTGCATATAATCAGTGCTTGATTACCCCTTAGGCCATAGCCTCGAGCCCCCAATGATAAGGGGCCCCCTTAAAATGGATTTTTCGAAAATAAATTTTAAAAAAATTATGAAAAACAATNGTTAAAAAAGAAAGAAAAATCGTAAAATCTTATGAAGAAAAAAAAAAAAATTTTGAAAAAATGGCGAGAAAATTTATCGAATTTTGTTCCGGTTTTTTGGTTTTCCGGTTTTCTGATTTCCGGATAACGGGTTCTGTACTGTACTATAATTTTTTTACATAATGTGAATCATATTTATTTATTGCTTATTTTAGTTATTATTTATAAGTATTATTATATATAAATACTTTTATATTTGAATAAGTAAAAAAATATACCGGAAAATCATTTTATTAGCATTAAATTATTAAATAATAAATAATTAAATTATAAAAATTATTATATAGAAAATTATTTTACCATATGTTAACCCATTGAACGTAAACAAGTGTAAACAGTCTCGTAAGAACAATAAAGCTGTATAAAAACAAAAGTAAAGCTGTGTAAAAACAATAAGCTAAGTATAAAGAGAAAAGAAATGAGATGCTTTAACTAGATAAAGTAGTCACAGTCGCCATTTTTTTCCAACTATCGTCGGATTTGGCGTATCAAGTCACCAAGCTCTAATCTGGAGCATTCAGTACTTGAATTCAATACTTTTTTTCTCTTGATTATTAATAAAAAAATGTCTTTATATTTAGGAGTCGACGTCCAGCAAGAGGAGGCGCACTAAAGCCGAGCAGAAAGAAGTAAGTAATAACCTTCTCGAATACAACAGTTTTACTCTATAAATGATTTTTTATATTTTTTATGCCTGCACAGGGGTCTGTCCAGGGCAAATTTACTGCCGTTGAGCGGCAGTTTCACAAATTCAATTTCAGGAAAAACGGTAGTCTCACAAAATACTTTTAACATATTTTCGAAAAATATTTAAATATTTTTGAAAGTATTTTCTTATTTTACCATATTNGTCGTTCTATTATATTGCAAAAAAAGCACGATTTTCACTGCGATATTTATTAGAAACCAGCTAATGTTCTCGAATTTTATTAATTTCATGTTTTTAAATTAAGAACTTTAAATAATAGGAAAAAAATTAATTTTTATTGCAGCACAGAACCTAACTATGATTTTTTTTTTTTTTTTGGAAAGTGATCAGGGGTCTGTTAAGAAGAAATTTGGGTCCGTTGACGGACCCTTCACAAAAAATCCTTTCATAAAAACGGACAATTCACAAAATGAGTTTTCTTTTATTCGGATCCATCACAAATTTGTTCATCATCATTATTGTTTTGTTAATCGAATAAACCCTTCCCAGGAAGAAAGACATGTAAACAAACTAAATTTTGTTTTCCGCAGACGCTTCTTTCTTTATTCGTCCGAAAACAATATTCTGCTTTCAGCAGTATAGGCTAAATACCAAATATTTGTATGTTGCATCTCTAATTTAGTAGCTGCAATTGCTGTTTATTTTTTTAAATTTAATTTTTTTAATTATAATTTTACAGTGTTGATCATAATATTGTTTGCCTTTACAATTTAAAAACTCCTTCTCAAAGTTTTTTTTGCGATAACGGACCCTATTTGCACACATTCACAAAAGCGGGTCCTGGTTGAAAGAATGTGATTTAACGTTTATTTTATATTCACGAATTACGAGTCATTTTTTCACTATTTTACGAAAACGGACCCTTCACAAAATGTCTGGATAGATCTATGATAACATTTCAAGTTATGTTTACTGTGAAGTTATACCTAGAAATTAGTGCAGTTTTTTTATTTTGATGACTATAAAATTCCCTATGTGTAGAATATTTGGTACATTATCATTTTGGTACATGCATAAATTATTATGAAATTTATATTA